CAACTGAAAAGCTGGTCAGACTCGAGACTCCATCAAAGGACAGCAGAGCAGGCCAGCCCAAGAATAACAAGTCAGGCCACTGGGGGGGGGTGGAGTGAGACTGATCCCTGTAAGGTCCTGTAGCTGTTACCCACACACCCCTCCTCAAATGCTAAAAACATTCACCTGAAATCCTTAGCCAAAATGGAAACCCCCTTCCCAGAAGCATAAAGACGAATATCACTGCCTCACAGTGTTCCTCAGAATTATGAGTGAGGGCTGGAGAGATGGCTCAGAAGTTAAGAGCACTGGCTGCCCTGTTCTAGAGGTCCTGAGTTCAATTCCCAGCAACCACATGGTGGCTCACAGCCATCTGTAATGAGATCTGGCGCCCTCTTCTGGCCTGCAGGCATACATGAAGACAGAGCACGGCATACATAATAAATAAATAAATCTTAAAAGAATTATGAATGTAAGGCTGCAGGTGGCTCCATTCCATACTCAGAATATATACGTTACTATAATCAGCGGTGTCCACAACCCATAGCAGCAAATGTTAGGAAAATAAACTAAGACTATTAGAAATTAAGATTGTTAGAAATACCAACTGGAATTTTCCTGGTGCTATTTTCCTTTGACATAGAAACTGGGCAAACTAGGGTAGTCAGTGGTTTGGAGAACCAAAGTCATGGAAGGTAATCAGCTCGCTAAAGCAGATCAGCAATCAGTGCTCTGTGTCTCTCCTGGGTGACATAGCTCAACTTGGAGGAAACAGCTAATCCTGGGGCCTTGACCTCCCCTAGAAAGCCACCAATGCACCGGGCGTCAGTGGCGCACACCTTAATCCCAGCATTTGGGAGGCAGAGGCAGGCGGATCTCTGTGAGTTTGAGGCCAGCCTGGTCTCCAGAGCGAGTACCAGGATAGGCTCCAAAGTCACAGAGAAACCCTGTCTCGAAAAAAAAAGAAAGAAAGAAAGAAAGAAAGAAAGAAAGAAAGAAAGAAAGTCACCAATGCATGAGAGGCAACTGAAGAATGACAGGCTGTGCCAATGTTGGAAATAACTGGTGAATGATTTAGTTTTCATCTGTGTGATTTCTATTAAACATGAGCAAAAAGGAAACCCAGGACCCAGATTGTTCAATCAGCTGCAGCTCCATGCCTCATTAGTCAGGTGGCTGTGGTAGCGTCCTGGCCTCTCTGTGATTTACTGACCTCACTCGTCACTGAGGGTGGGTTGGCCCAGGTACCTTACAGTGCACAGGAGAGAGGATACCACATACGGGCATTCAGGGCCATGTCGGAACACAGCAAGTCACAAGGAACATCAGCCACTGGTAGGAGCCATGCTGTTGCTTGCTCATGCCAAGCCAGTTTCTTGTGAAACTGACTGAGCATCCTTCATGAAAGCACCTGTTCCACAGTCAAGGCAACGTGTTTCTAGGGCAACCCAGAGACAAAAAAAAAAAAAAAAAAAAACGCAGAAGCAAAGTAGAAGATCTGAAGCAAACAAGCAAGGGATATGAAAAAAAAAAAAAAAAAAAAAAAAAAAAAAAAAAACACGGGAAAGGGGCATACAGGAATCGTGGGGCATCGTGTACAAACCACACCTTCAAATCACAGGCATCGATGAGAAGGAGAATCCCGAGTCAATGGCATAGAGCAGATCTTGAACAAGATCATTGACGACAAATTCCCCACACAAAGGAAAGACATACAGATACAGAGCACCAAACAGACAACACCAGAAAGAAACCCCCTGGTCTAAGCATACAGAACAAAGGTAGTGTCTAGAGAGCTGCAAGAAAAAACACAAGCTGCATACAATGGAAAACCCATCAGATAAGGCTGAGTTCTCAGTGGGAACTCTGCAAAGTGGAAGGACCTGAAGCATTGCTCTCCAGTCCTAAACCATCTGCCGTCCAACCTAGACTAACGCACCCAGAAAAACTGCTCACCATAGTTGAAGCAGAAAGAAAAACTTCCCTGGATATAAATAACCTAGAAAAGGGTATACCCAACAAATCAAACCTAAAACATATATAGGAAGCAATACTTCAGGCCGAAGAAAGAAATGAGCAAATCCAAGAGACTGTGGAAAGAAATACAAAGCCAAATTACCACCAATGAGAACACAAACACCACCACCCAAAATCAACAATGCAATCACTGCAATTAACACACACATTTTGATAACAACTTTAAATATTAATGGCCTCAATTCTCCAATCAAAAGAAATAGGCTGTCTTAGTTACTCTTCTATTGCTGTGAAAACATGGTGACCAAGGTAATTCACAATGGAAACATTTAACTGGGGGCTTGCTTACATTTCCAGAGGGTTATTCCATGACCATCATAGCAGGAAGCATGGGGGCAGGGAGGTAAGCAGGGCACTGAAGAAAAAGCTGAGAGCTTACATTCTGATCTGCAGACAGAAGGCCAGAAGAGAGCAAGACTGGGCCTAGCAGGGGGCTTGTGAAACTTCAAAGCCCACCCCCAGTGGTGCACCTCTTGGAAGACCACAAGGCCACACCTCCTAATCCTCCCCCAAACAGTTCTGCGAACTGGGAACCAAACATTCAAATATATGAACCTACAAGGGCCATTCTCATTCAAAACACCACACAGACTGCCTGAATGGATCAAGAAACAAAATCTGTTGTCTACAAGCAATACATGCCTGGGTCAGAGAAGAAATCAAGAAAGAAAGAAAAAATGTTTTCTTGGAATGAAATGGAAATGAAAACACCACACAATAAAACCTCTGGGACACATGAAAACAGCCCACTGCCAGGGTGGGGACTGGGGGGTCCCAGGGTGGGAACTGGGGGGGGGGGCGGAGGAGCAACAGAGAGAGGAATAGCAGGGTATAGTGATCTGATAGCGTAAATGGGAAAGGCAGAGAGGTGTGGTGATCTCTTTCTTGCACAAATAAAGCCTGTCTGGGGGGTCAGAGAATGGAGCTTGCCACTAGCTAACCATAGAGGTCTGGAGGTCTGTACAGACAGGCAGGAAGTGACGTAGCTGGGCAGAAACAGGATATAAGCAGGGAGAAACAGGAAATGGCTCTCCTGTCTGCTGAAACACTAAGCAGGTGAGGTGTGCTGTGGCTTGCTCCTTCTCTCTGATCTCTCAGCATTTCCCTCTATATCTGACTCCAGCTTTTTATTATCTAGACCATTTCAGAGCTCCATTTACAAAGGGGGGGGGTCTAACGAGGAAGAGGGGTTAAAATGACAATGAATATGTCTGAAAGGTTATAAGGAATCATGTTTCTAACCATTTACCTAAAAATATCTATAAAATACTTAAGTCGGTGTATAAGTATACATAAACGCATTTTCCCATCTGAGCTGGCAATGCTCCCTCCAAGAGCAAGGACCATCTACCAAACCCAGGCATGAGACACCCTCTTTTGGGTTGCTGATAAGGGTTGTATGGACTCCCAACACATTACAGGCTATTGTTCTTGCCTTCGGTTGCCCTGTTGTGAAAATGAAGTCCCTATTGCTGAAGATCCCACGTACTTCAGAAACAGGGCTCAGAGGCCCCTGAGCTGGAAGTGATCTGAGTGTCCCTCCCTGAGACCTGGCTTTCATGGTACCAAAAGGTATTGTGCAAGCTTCCAAGAAGGGAATCAACCAACACACCACCTAACTAAGATGCCCAGGAACCACACTGACAGGCAGCGTGGCAAGACAACTGTATGGGTGCAGTAGTGGAAGCGCACACCTTGTCAAGAACCAACAGCTGTCTAACTGGCCTGAAAAGCCAACTACCCAGGTCTAGAGAAGTAATGGACCTTGGAGGAGAACCTCCTATTGAGTGTGGTGATATTTTGTTTATGATGTTGCCTGAAGATCAGAGTGCAGAGCTAAGCCACTGGTTAGCCACACAGCACAGACAGTGGTGGCCACGCCTTTAATCCTAGCCCTCAGGAGACAGAGGCAGACGGAGCTCTGTGTGTCAAAGTCACCCTGGGCTACATGAGAGTGACTCAGTCTAAAAGAGAAACAGAGCTCACACCTTTGATCCCAGCACTTGGGATGACAGGCTTTAATCCCAGCACTAGAGAGGAATACAAGGCAGGAACTCCGTGCAGTCTGAGTTTTGGTGGAGAGCATTGCAGTCTGCACTCACACTGAGGACAGGATCACCCTGCCCCCCTTAGCCTTGATAGAGGTATAAGAACTCTCAAGTGGCTGGCTGCTTTGCTTTTCTGATGTTCAGCTTGAACCCCAATATCTGTCTCTAGGTTTTTATTCTTTGTGCTACAATTGAGGGCTGGGCTGATCCAAGGCTTTCCCTGAGACCCTGATGTTGGAGAAGGAACACAGCTCCTTCTCAAAACCAGGAATACGCTTGGCAGAGATGGTAGTGACCTGGGGCCAGAGCCTTGAGGGAGCTTCAGCTTCAGATCCTGAGAACCTACCACTTCCCACAGTGTGGGGCTGTGGTTGTCAGTCCCAAGGCTGCTGTGTGCCCGGACTGTGATGCTCTTGAGACACCCTGTGGTCCCTTGTGATGCTCTTGGGACACCCTGGGGTCCCTTGTGCGACACTGACTGATTAGCTTCTTGGTGACGTCATCCCACTGTGACTGCTTCTGCTGGCCCCACCCCATTTCTTAACCCAGAAAATGGTATATAAGGTGCTGTACTTCTTAATAAGCTTGCTTGGCATAAGACACAGCTTATGCAAGACATCCAGATGCCAAATTTCCTATATCCTTCTTTATCTTATCATCTCCAGGCCACATCCCATGTAGGATTCCCATCACTGAAGAATAACCTACTGGCCCAGGTCATTCTACAACTACCACTGTAATAAACCAGCGTAATTCCTAACTACAGTCTTAATAATTGTTCTTATAGCCACAGATAAGTGCAGTCCTCACCCCTCATCAAGGACAGTTCTCTTTATAACAGACAGAGATCAATACAGAAGACCACAGCCAACCAAAACACAGACGCTAGCTTAGCTCCGTTTCGTCCCCAGAAAACCAGAAGCAGTGTGGACTTACCCGCTCCTGGCCAGCCGTATCCCAGATGAGGAATTTGTGAAGTTCGTTTCCACAAGGCACAGTTTTGGTCATAAAAGATGCCCTGAAAAGAGAGGCAGTCCTCTGTATTATCAAACCTCCACAGAAACTCATGAACCCCAAGTCAATGTTAAGAAGATCCCCCAAGAACTCTTGTCCCCTAGGAAGAAGTAATGAGATCTGTGCCACTGTAAATAAAATAGTCTACATTTTATGTAATCCAGCTGGAGTTTCAAAAAAAAAAAAAAGTGAGGGCTGGAGGGAGGGTTCAGAGGTTAGGAGCGTCGGCTGCTCTTGCAGAGGACCCAAGTTTGAGTCCCAGAACCTCACATGGCAGCTCACAGCCAGCTGTAACTCCAGTTCTAGGGCATCCAATGCCTTCTGGCTTCCTCAGATACTGCACACACGTGCTGTGCACACACGTGCTGTGCACACACGCATGCAGACAAAATACTCATACCCATACAACAAACATAAAATCTTTCAAAGAAAATGCATAGGAAACAGACTCAACTGTCCTAGAATAATATTCTCTAGACGTCAGGGAAATGTTCAATGTCTAACCTTCGATGTTAAAGTCACAGTCATAAAAAGTGTGAGGGAAAACAATGTCTTATTTTATGACTTTAAGACCTTGACATCAAAACAGCATAAACAAAAAGCTGTCTTAACATATTCCTGTTGTAGAGTATTGTTTTAAGGTGTGTTACCTTTGTTTATGCTCTGGAACATTTTTTAATGATGCAAAGATGTGTTTGATTAAATAAAATCCACCTGCAGTCAGGAGGCTGGGTCAGCAACTACCTGACAGGAAGCTGTAGGGAGGAGCCAGGTGGAGAAGGTTTATAAGGAGGGGCAAAGCTGTGCTGTGGTGGCACATTCCTGTAATCCCAGCACTCGGGAGGCAGAGGCAGGCGGATCTCTGTGAGTTTGAGACCACCCTGGAATACAAGAGCTAGTTCCAGGACAGCCTCCAAAGCCACAGAGAAACCCTGTCTGGAAACCCCGCTCCCCCAAAAAGGAGGGTTGAGAACGAGCATGAGAACTTCGTGAGACACTGGAGGAGGTGAGCTGCTTGCTATTCAGCCTCTCTGGGAAGCAGGATTCTACCTCAACCTTTGAATCTTGATCTCTTTAGCAGGACAGAGATTTAACTAAGTTTCCTTAGTAGCTTTGAAAGAGTCAGTGCCTCAGGGAACAGAATTCCCTCAGGCTTCACCTCTCGCAGCCTAGCCACCGCTGGTAGCAATGGAGTTGCAGTTGCTGAATAGGGTAGTTGTAGCTTAAAAGGGCATACTTAAAAAAGTAAAACAACATATTCCCAGTGCTGCCATGAATTCAATACTAGCAGCAAGTATGGAAAAATACAGCCAAATCTCAACCTGTCTGCATAAATGTAGGGATTGTCTTAGTTAAGGTTTCTATTTCTTCAATAAAACACTATGATCAATACAACAAAGGGAGGAAAGGGTTAATTTGGCCTACACTTCCACATCACTGTTCATCACTGAAGGAAGTCAGGACAGGAGCTCAAACAGGACAGGAATCTGGAGGCAGGAGCTGATGCAGAGGCCATGGAGGGTGCTGCTTACTGGCTTTCTCTTCGTGGCCTGCTCAGCCTGCTTTCTTATAGAACCCAGGACCAGCAGCCCAGGGATGGCATCACCCACCATGGGCTGGGCTCCCCGACATCAATTGCTAATTTTGAAAAATGCACTACAAGTTTCCCTACAGCCCAGTGCTTTAGAGGCATCTTCTCAATGGAGAGTCCCTCCTCTCAGATGGCTTTAGCCTGTGTGACATTGACACAAAACTATCCAGCACGGGCTAAGTAACACATGCTTCTACTAAAAAGGAAGCACCTTAAGGTTATCAGGAAACCATAAAACACTTGCTTTTCTTTTACCTCTTTTCTCTGAACAAGCATTTTCTTTGTGCTCGTGGAGCCATAAAAATCAGATACACAGAATATGTAATGCCCTCTCTTCTGTGCACTAAAGTTTCCCATTCATTAAAAAGCTGTAAGCAGTGCCAGCATCCTGATAACTTATGAGAAGTTCCTGGGATGGCTAGGAAACACCCACATCCACCTGTGTGGATTCTGCCAAAGATGCTGTGGTGGTTTGAATGTAATTGGCCCCCATAAGCTCATAGGGAGTGGCACTATTGAGAGGTGTGGCCTTGCTGGAGTGGGTGTGGCTTGTTAGAGGAAGTGTGTCTCTATGGGGGTGGGCTTTGAGGTTTCCTATGCTACAGCTCAGTGACAGTCAGCTCACTTCCTATTGCTTCAGATCAAGATGTAGGACTCTCAGCTCTTTTTCCAGCACCATGTTGCCATGTCCCACTGTGGTGATAATGGACTAAACCTCTGAAACTGTAGCTACCTTAGTAAATGTTTTCCTTCTATGAGTAGCCGTGGGTCGTGGTGTCTCTTCACAGCAACAGAACCCCTAACTCAGAAGTTTAGTCTGGATGCCATCATAAGGTAGCAAGAAGGTAAGTAAGTGTAGGATGGGGGTCATTCCATAAGCCACTGACGTGGATGCCTTAAAGAGCATGAAAAAGAAAATGAAGAGCCAGGAGATTTTTCCAGAATCTAAAGTAAAAGAAAAGCAGTATCAGGAATAGGAAGGAGCCTTGGCCATATTCTGGATTCCAGAAAGAGCGTTCAAGAGTGTTTTTAAGAACACGTAGAGAAGCTGGGATTGTGGCTCATGGTGTGTAGTATTTAGCATGAATATTCGCTGGCACGAATGAGGTCCTGTGCTCAATTCTCAGTACTGAAAAAGTGAAAATCAAAACTGATGACAGAGCTGAGCAGTGGTGGTGCTCGCCTTTAATTCCAGCACTGAGGAGGCAGAGGCAGGTGGATCTCTGTGAGTTCAAGGCCAGCCTGGTCTCCAGAGCGAGTGCCAGGATAGGCTCCAAAGCTACACAGAGAAACCCTGTCTTGAAAAACAAAAACAAAAAAAAAAAAAAAAAAAAAAAAAAAAAACTGATGACAGTTAGCCACATGAGGAATTGGACTACCCGTGAGGAGCTATCACTGAATCAAGATAATCTCTGAGGTATCCTAACAATGTTCTTCTCTTGGGCGACAGAGTCTACAGTTTGGAGTGGTGATGCCCATATTCTCTGTGACCCAGCATGGTCCAGCACAGAGCTCAACACAGCACTGTCTTCCACCTCGGGCTCTCCTAAGAATAAGAGGCTGACTGCAGAAACCTCAATCCAGGCCTTTCAGTCACACCCACCACCAACATACATGCTCACACCAGCGGTCAACATCTGACGCTTAGTGACAAACCCATGAAGTGAAGGGAAGTCTAGGGTTCTGTGTGACACGAGCCGGTATTATCCTTTCATTTTCCTTTAACAAGGGAACAAACAAGATCTTCCAGACTACCTATAAGAGCAAATGGGCCGGCGGCGGTGGTGGTGGCTCACACCTTTAATCCCAGCACTCGGGATGCAGAGGCAGGTGGATCTCTGTGAGTTCCAGGCCAGCCTGGTCTACAGAGTGAGTTCCAGGACAGGTTTCAATGCTATAGAGAAACCCTGTCTCAAAAAACAAAAAACAACAACAACAAAAAGAGCAAATGGATTTAAAAATGGATCTGTATTCTTTCCCAGTAAGTGATGTGTATACCTCACATACACAAAAGGGAATTCAAGAAATGAAAATTAAGAAGGAAATAAAATCGACCCCCCAATTTGGCACCTATCCATGAATCCTGCTAGAAAGTCCATCCTCCGCTGTTTTCATAGAAACTTTTAACTGGAGATTGGATAAAGCTCTGCTTGATGTTAGGTTTCTCACTTTTACTCCCCGATCAGTCTCAGTGTCTGAAATGACTCAGTGTCGCTCACCATGTAACAAGTCTATTCAGCGTCCCATGGCGGATGCTGTGTCCTGTGTCACTGTTTCCATAGACTTAATTCTTTTCAATTTTGTTTTCACTTATTTACTTAGTTAATTGTGGGGTGAATTCTGGGGCTGAGCACTGCATTTCAGCTGCAATCGCTAACTACCGGCTCTACCACTGAGTTATATGTGCCTCCCTACCGCCTTGGGCTCATTTCTTTTTATTAATTTCAATTCTTATTTATTTTTGTTTGAGACAGAGTCTTACTATACAACCCAGCACAGCTTTGAACTCCGTCTGTGACCAAGGCTGACCTTAAATCCTCCTGCCTTAACCGCATGAATGCTAGGATCACAGGCCTATGCCACCTTGCACAGCTTTAGAGTTGATTAGCAGCCATGCCCCACTTTTGATGCATCTGGCAAACCCAGGTTACACCAACCTAGACGCGTATAACTATGAGACAGTCTTCTCCCCAGCCATCTTCCACCTCTCAAGTCTGCCATTACACTAGGAAGAAACATGGTAGCTCATCTTTATTCTCGTTAGACTCTGCTATCAGGGTACTTCACCCAGGTTCCAAAGCCCCTCCTGGAGGGACGGAGGGAGGGAGGAGGCTCCTAAGGCTCAGAAAGGAAAGGAAAACCGCAAGTCTCAGGAAGTGAAACTCAGAAGACCCAGTAGGCTCCTAAAACTTACAGGATTTGCAGCACAGGCTGGGAAGACGGCTCAGGCAGAGTACAGGTGTGTGCCTGAAAACCTGAGTCTGAGCCCCAGGATCTACAGAATGGAAGGAGAGAATCAACTCCCTCAAGTTGTCCTCTGACCTCCACATACACTCGGTGGCATGCAGGCACACATCACCCTCCCCCAGCAAATGCTCTTTTAGAATATAACAAAACAAGATTCACAAGGCAACAGCTGCTGTGGAAAAGAGACAGAGCCTACTCGCTGAGCCGCTGCATGCATGATCACATATGCTGTGTGCGCTCGGAGCTCAGGGAAGCCGTTTCATGTCTGGACAGAGCCCATGGTGTAGCCATGTTTCATAATCCACATGACTACTGCTCTGAGTCACTGAGGTGACTTGGGTTAATGTTTCTGCTGCAGGAATGAAGTCCTCTTACAAACGTGGCTTCAGCAGGAGGAACAGGTGGGCTTTGGGAACAGAGTCCCTTGGTTTGGTGGTGCTGGATCAAACCCATGCTACTCAAGCACTGCCGTACTGAAGCCACACCCCCAGCTCTGCCTGGCTCCGTCTGAGTCAAGACTGCAGCTCTGTGACCACTGATGTGCTCCGACCCGAGGAAACCATCACAATTAACCCCTGGGTCAGGGATCAGGAACTGAAACACCCACAGGATCAGGCAGGTGACATAGTCCAGAAAGGCAGATAAAGCGAGACAACTATGCCAACAACAACAACAACAAAAAAAAAAAAAACAGTAACAATAAGTCATAGCAAATCCCGAAGCTTGAGAATCTATCACCCCATAGCATGTGAGTATCTCTGGCTGACCTAGCAGGTGGTCACAACCCATGTGTGGAGAGACACCTAAGGGAGCAGCAGAGCACACCCGGGTGTGTCTGTGAGAGGATTGAGATCATGAGGAGTCTGCTTGATGGATAGGTTAACCCTGTCAATGGTTAATAACATGATAGCATTAATAAGAAGTACAAAGTGAGGTCTGGCTGAAGGGAATGGGTCACAACGGTGATGTCCTTAGATGCTACATCTTACCCTAGCCTCTTCCTGTATTATCTCTTTCCCTGTTTCTTGGCCACTACAATGTGAACAACAGCTCATCTCCACTGTGAGTTTCTCCTGCCATGGTGTTCTGTCCAAGCGTACGAAGCCAAGCAGCCACGGGCTGAACCCTTGAAGCCGTAAACCAAAATAAGCTCTCCTCCTTTAAGTTATCTTGTCAGCTGTTTGTTTACGCAGAAAGGACAGCAACTGGTATGTGGGCTCAAAAACTTCGAAAGCACCATAAAAGCTAAACGACATCAGTCCTCAGGCCAGACATCTGGCTCACTGAGTTGACTGGCTTTGGTATAGGTGATCTATCAAGCTTTTAGAAATTAAGAAATTAAGAAGTCCATTTCCATCATCTTCCAATAAGTTTACTTAGGAAGTATTCCTAATAGCCTCATTTTTTTTTTTTTTTTTTTTCTGAAACTGGAGCTTGGAAACATCTTCTCAAAATTCCAAAGGAGAAAATTTGAGTGCAAGTTAACAATGTCAGGAAAAGCCTTACATATTGTTAAGCACACAGGAGAGCGGAATCTCCCTGATACCAGAAGACATTGAGGAGCAAAGTAGGCGGGAAGTAGAGCAGTTCCCATTAGGCACTGCAGTTCCCATGAGGCACTGCAGCTCCCATGAGGCACCACAACCATCAGAAACTGTGCTGTCACTGTAAACTTAAGCGGGGGAGGGGGGTGCTCAGCATTAGATTATTCCAGTCTACAGTGGTCAACTTTTCTGGGGATTAAAGCCAGGCCACCCACCAGGAGCTGACAGTACACAGCATCTCCCAGCCATGGTCTTGATAGTCAAGAAAACGGTCTTGTCCTTTAAGAGGAAGAAGGTTGGCAAGAAAAAAAAAAAGAAAAAAACTGACAAGAATAGCCCTAAATTTCCGGAGTTGAAATCAATTCTCATTGGTGGAGCAGGAAATGTTTGCCCTAAAAAGAAGTGATGTCAAAAAAAGAAACACACTGTCACTTACCCAATGGTGGGGCTAATGTTGTGGTCAAAGTGGTCCTGGACAAACCGACACACAATGCTTGATTTCCCGACCCCCGTGTCCTAGAAGAGAATGAAAGCATGGCCATGAGAACCCACCAGCTCTGACCCGAAATGGACATGTGACAAGAGAGCACCGTGACAGAAGGTAGGAGCAGACGAGATGTCTGCTCTTTCCTACTAGAATATTCTATAATGTAAATAAATGCATTTCTCTCATAAAAAGAAAACAAGTGTGGTAAAAGCAAGCTTGGAACACATCTCACATGCATGCCTCAGTTAGCATGTTCATAATACACACGATTCCAGAGTCAGAGAACAGAGGAACGGTCTAGAGAACATGTGTGCCATCCCGCCATGTTGTTAGAGAGCTGAGTTGTTTGGTTTGATTTTTTTTTTCAAAGTCACATTGTTAATCTGTCTCTCTAGTTACACCCCAGAAGATCTCTAAATTCCAATGTCCCCATTTCCAGCACCATCTTAGAATGTGATGACCGGACATAAACCCCCGGTTTTGTTGAAGTCTATAAAGATCTCATGTCAGATCTGTCTTGACTAAACAAACAATTCTTTAAGGCTGGTCAAGCGGGAGATTCCTTACACAATGGAAATCAAACACAGACAAGAGTCTCTTACTTCCTTCCTAAACCCTTGCAAAGTGGTTTAGGGAACAACAGACTCAAATTCACAAAGGCAAAGCCCAGACAGATGACACCAGCTGTGTCTAGAAAGACAGCTCATGCCTGAGACACCAAGCAGGCAGCAGCAAGTCAGCTCCTGCCTGAGACTCGGGCAGTAGAGGGCATGGCTGAAACAGATGTCATGGGAAGGCACCCCAGGGAGCCAGAGAGAGCTATCTTTCAGGAAATAGGACTTAAGGCACATGTAGGGAGGAAGAGGCTACAGAAGCTTAGATAGAAGCCCCCAATGGATAGAGGGGAAACCCCGCACATACAGACACCAGAATCTCCCAATATTAAAGGGCATTGTGTGCTCCAGCTAACCACCCTGGAGCTTTTGACACACTATGGACTGAAGCTCTGAGACAAAATACCCCTTCCCTGCTTTGAATTGCTTGTCACAGGCATTTTTCCATAGAAACGAAAAGCTGACTAATCCAGATACCTTAGAAAGAGATATAAGGGATATACATGGCTCTCATGTCAGAGATGTGACCTTGATTGTTCATATTTATTAGGAGAGCCCAAGCCGCTCTCAAGCTCCCTATGCAGGTAAGGGTGACCCTGAAATGACCCTCATACCCGCAAGTGCTAGCACTGCACAGCAGGCCTTGCTTACACCTCCGTAGGAGCCAGACCTAGGGCCCCCTGCACCTCACACACTCTGATCTGACCGACCAACCCAGTTACATTCCCAACTCCTAAAGGTGTGGATTTTTGTTTGTTTTGTTTGTGTTTTCTGAGACAGGGTTTCTCAGAACCAAAGCTGTGTAGCTTTGCCTGTCCTGGAACTGACTCTGTAGACCAGGCTGCCCTTTAAAGGCGTGCCCCACCACTGCCCAGCTTATAGGTGTGATTTTAAAAGCCCAGAGTTTGAGGCTGGTGCTATGGCTCAGTAGTTAATAATGCTTGCTGCTCTTGTAAAGGACCTATGGCTCAGTTCCAAGAACCAACACAACAGCTCACAACCATCTGGAATTCCAGTTCCAGCGCATCCAACACCCCCTTCTGGCCTCAACAGGCGCTGCACACACACTGTGCACATAAAGTACATGTGGGCAAAACACTCATACATTTCAAGTATTCCAGTCAGGGGTCCGATGAAACGACACAGAAAGAGTGCATGCCATCAAGCCTAATGAACCAAGTTTAATTCCCAGGACCTGCATGGTAGAAAAGAACTCCCTCAAGTTGCCCTCTGACATACGGATGGGCTTGTTGCTCTAGTCACCAGCAGAGCCGGGGTTTCACCTGGGCCATCTGTATAGAAGGCAAGCAGCGACTCAATGCTTGTAGGATGGTGGTTTGAGGGCTGACCTTCAGGCAGCTTTGTGGGGCTGAGCTGTGCACTGGGGACATGGAGTCAGAGCAGAGCCCCCAGGACTCTGAATGTGTGTTCCCCGGGTGAGCATCACTACTGAGAAGATAGAGCATCTGTCATGGCCAGTGCGTGTAAGGGGCAGAGACGCCATGACACCATGAGAGTCAGGCCAGAAAGTATAGAAAAGGAAAACCTCGGGCCAGAAGAACTATTGGCATTTCCAAGAGGTAGTTTTAGGGTAGAGTGAGGTGAGCTTGGTGTGACCTGAAAACATGAGGGGAGGGAGGGCTAGGTAGGGAGTCTGCTCCAGAGCCCTAGGTGCTGGGGTTGGACACAGGCAGGCACCTCAGAGTAAGTAGACACTCTCTGATGTGCACCCAGAACTTCTCTGGGACCCCCGCAGGCTAGGAAGGGTAGCATGCCATCCCCCACCAATGCAGTGTGCAAACCAGGGAGTTACTGACATCCCACACCAGTGGGGTAGAGCCTACTGTCCGTACAGAGGAGGCAGGACTTGGGGAATATTTATTGGATGATGAAGAATAAATACATCAGTGGGAGATCCCTGAGAAAGAATTCTTAGACCATGAACCCTGATGTTAAAAAAGAAAGAAAGAAAGAAAAAGGGAGAGAGAGAGAGAGAGAGAGAGAGAGAGAGAGAGAGAGGAAGAAAGAAAGAAAGAAAGAAAGAAAGAAAGAAAGAAAGAAAAGAAAAGAAAAGAAAAGAAAAGAAAAACGGGTTGGGTACAGACAAGGTGAGGGCCCCACCCGCCCGTATTGTGGTTTCCAGGACACAGTTGCTTCCTGGAGGAATGCTTGCAGCATGGGGTGTTTTCTGCCTTCCTGGGCAGGGCAGAGCAGGGCAGGGCATTGCAGCTGTGTAGTTTCCATTTCTCTGGGGGTGGCATGGATGGAGAAGTCCATCTGTAGGAAGGGCTTAAAACAGCTGAAGAGGGCACATGAGCTGCTGCTGGGAGGGGGGTGAGGGGACCTGGGCCAGAACCCATGGGAAAGTGTGGGTCAAAGGCAACAGGCAATGATTAAAGTCTTAAATTTTTTAATTAATTAATATTCTCTCTCACTCTGGCTTGTTCCACTCTCTCCTCCCTCAGGTCACACCAAGCTCACCCCACTCTGTACCCTAAAACTACCTCTTGGAAATGCCCATAGTTCTCCTGGCCTGACTCTCAGGGTGTCATGGCGTCTCTGCCCCTACCACACACCAGCCATGACAGATGCTGTATCTTCTCAGTTGTGATGCTCACCCAGGGAGCACACATTCAGAGTCCTGGGGGCTCTGCTCTGACTCCTCAGTCCACAGTCAGCCCCGCAGAGCTGCCTGAAGGTCAGCCCTCAAACCACCATCCTAAAACCATTGAGTCCCCTGCTTGCCTTCTACAGGTGGCCCAGGTGAAACCCCAGCACTTCCGGCGAGCTAGAGCAGCAAGCCCACTCAAATGTATCTATCTGGACACCTGTCAAACGTACACTTTGTTTTGTCTTGCTTTCACGGTTTGACTTAATATCTACAGCTTATCATTTCATAGGCAAGATACAACAAAATGCATTCGTTTTAATTTGACTAGAAAATAAGATATTTTTTAAAGAATGGGGCCAAGAAATTTCTCCACTGGTGACAGGAGGGAGGAGCAGCTGAGCTCTGGGACCCAGGGGCTCATCTTCCGGAAGCTGTCGTTCCACCGATGACCACAAGGGGAAGACATGCTCACCTGCTGGCTGGAGAGCCCAGAGTGCCCTCTACTCTAGGATTTCTTTTTCCTGCCAGAACCTGACTGGGATGAACCCACAAAAACAACTGGACTGTGACCCACATTCATGGAGGAAAAGACTAGGGAGCCGTGGCTGCCACATGGAAACTGAAGTAGAAAACAAAACAAAAATAACAAAGCCAACTTGTTTAAAAAGAAAAAAATCCATTTAAAAGGGCAGAGAAACCTCAGCACTCCTGAGACAGAGGCAGGAGGATCTCCGAGTTCAAGGCCAGCCTGGTGTACAGAGAGAGTTCTAGGACAACCAGGGCCTCACAGAGAAACTAAAAGCAAGCAAACAAACAAACAAAAAAGACAGAGCAGAGAGCAAAGGTCCCATGTGCCCAGTTCAGAGCCACCGTACTATAGTGGCTATGCTAGAGAACTTGTCTATGTAGCTCACCTATTCTACATTGAGAGTCTGTCACAGCCCATCTTGTGTAACCCTCTGATTTTGCAAAAGCGGAAGCTCGCGTGACTTCCTTAAGGAAGGTCACACAGCCAGACGGTTGGGAAAGTCAGAAGCAGGTGCTACGGGTCCCTGTCAGACCTTCCTTAAGGCTACGGTCAGTTAAATCCATCTCCCAGCCAAGCACAAACTGCTTTAAAAGGGAAAAAAGAACTGGGTGATGGTGGCACACGCCTTCAATCCCAGCACTCGAGACCAGCCTGGTCTCCAGAGCGAGTGCCAGAACAGCCAGGGCTACACAGAGAAACCCTGTCTCAAAAAAACGAAAGAAATACAGAAATACAGAAATACAGAAATACAGAAAGAAAGAAAGAAAGAAAGAAAGAAAGAAAGAAAGAAAGAAAGGAAGAAAGTTCAGTTGTCCAACTTTACAAGTATGCTGATGACCCCTTTCTGGTTTCGCTTTGCACAGCTCACATTACTCAGCATGTTATGAAGACAGGGCTACTGTTTTGACAGTGACCAATGAAGACACAGTCCCTACTGCTGGGGAAGCAACAGAATAAAACCAAATCTGACTCTGTAAGCCAGTGGGAAAGTTGAGTAAAATCTACCCTGGGGGTAGACAGAACACAGTGCACCCACAACACACACGGGTTTCATTTATGTCTTGACAAAACTATTATTGCCCAAAAACATCTTAAGTGAAAAATTCATGTATACATTAGTAATAAATATACAATCATAATTATTATCAATTGCAGAAATCAAACAGTGAATAGCATAGCCTACTCTGAATTACCTTAAATATGCTTGGACCACTTATACTAGCCTGCAGTGGGCAAAATCTTCTAACACAAGCCGTTTTATAATAAAATAGTGAG